TCAGTGAGTTTCATCTTCTTTTTTGGGTGCAGGCAGCTTTTCTCAGCAGCAGGAGTGGCTGCTCTGAGTCCTTATGCTGAAGGACCAAGAAAAGTCACCCCGCAAGGAAAAAGAAGAAAAAGAAGAAAAAGAAGAAAAAGAAGAAAAAGAAGAAAAAGAAGAAAAAGAAGAAAAAGAAAAAAAAGAAGAAAAAGAAGAAAAAGAAGAAAAAGAAGAAAAAGAAGGGGTTGTTTTTCCTGCCTTGCTATTGAGCCGAAGTGGCACAGAAAGTTGTCAAGGAGATGCTCTCTCTGGCAGCAGGATGCACCTGGTGAACTTCTCTCTGCTCTGTGGAACAATCTCATTGGGAAAAGAATTCCTGTCAATATCTGAGGGTGCTCTCATGGGCTAAGCAAGATATTGCAACTTGGGTGTTGAACTTGGACTCCTTGGTGGGTTTTATTTTATTTTGTTTGAGTAATGCTGGTTTTCAGCTAGATTTCTCCCAGCTGCAGTAGGATCTGACTGTGGATGTTGCTACAATCAGTTTTGCTTCTTTGGGAAGCAGGAGCATCCTTCAAGGTGAGGTGGGAGGTCAGAAGTGTCAGGACCAGCAGCTCTTGTTTGTGGATGTACCAGTGGGTCTAACTTCTCTCCCTGAGGTTAAATAATAGTGCCTGAGGACACCCAGGTCAGGATAAAGAAGAAATAGGTGCCTTGAAAGCCCAGGGAAAAATCACCACTAGTCTTTTTACAAATCTTGCAGGAGCACAATCTGTGCTATTAGTCTATGAGAATCCCACAAAATAACTCTATATCAGTTATATTAATAGTACTACAGTCCACCATCAACATGGGTGAAACACTCACCGTGATAAACCGGAGCGTGATGGAATCAGTCACTTAAAACATCCCTGAGCACAGTCCAGAGGATTAGCAGCTGGATCAAGGTAGAGCAACTGGTGATCAAGGAAAGCCAGCTCCCTGTTTAAGGAAAACATCAGCTCCTGAGAAATCCCTTACCTTTAATTGTATCTGAGAGTGTAATTGCATCTTCAGCCCAAACAGAACTAAAATCGATCTGGCTAAGGAGTGACACAAGGAAATGGGACTTTAATGAGTGACACAAAGAACGGGACTAAAATGATGCTTATCTCTGGTCACTGAATACGGGGATCTCGTTCTACATAATGTACATATAAATAATAGAGCAGCCCCTGCAAGCAGAGCCCTCACCAGCTCACTCAGATGCATGGAGCTGTTGAGAAGAGCACCCTGCATCTGTCCCTGGAATTTCACTGGGCACATTGCTAAGCTCTAAGGAATAATACAGCTTTTGAAACATATTTAAAAAAAAATCTACCAGAGATTGTTACCATTTTTCCTAAAAAATAGTCTCGTCTTCGATAAAAAAAATGTTTTGCAAACAGCTTTTAGCTGTCACCCTTTGTTTTGGACCCTACTTATTTCTGTTTGGTGAGGTGATAAGCAAAATCCTGATTTTTCATCCTACTTTGGCTCTTCCCACTTGCTTTTGGTGCATAAGAAAATGATGAATGTTAGCCCAGTGTGATTTTCACTTCATTCAGCAATGCAATCACTAGAGGGAGACAGATGGCAAATTTATCTATCCTCAGCTCTCAGACACTCTGTGGTGCCTTACAAATGACAGCAGAACAGTAGTAAGTAGGAGCTCCTGGTACATCATGCTGCCTGGGGGAGAAATTTGAAGACTTGCTGAAATCAGTTTAATTTTGTTGACTGTCCATGCTGGCAGCTGTGTCCTCCTCAGCAGCTGTGGAGCCGCTTGGCTCCTGAAGGTCGTGCTGAGTCCCTCAGCTCATTCTGGGGTGATTCAATCCCCTCCTGAGAAATCAGGGGTGCAGGAGCTGGTAGAAATCCCCCAATTCCATTTGGGGATTTTAGCCCTATGGTGCAGAATTTGTGCAGCTTGGCCCAGGCCAGTGTGGATGTGCTCGTGAGATCTCCAAGAGATGCTGACCCCAAAATAAGTAAGAATCATCAGCTGCTGAATATGAAGGTTTAGTCAAAAGGGCCAAACATCCTAATGGGTAATTTATGTTTTTATGGAGATTGGCTGAAGATAAAGACTTGTAACCAAACAAAAAAAAAACCAAAACACATTAAGATTCCTCACTCAAATACATATCAGTACCTAAAAAGTAAACATGGCCTTATGATTTATTTCACCATCTCTACCCCCATTAAGCTTAAATGAAGCAGATGCTGCTCTTCTCCTCATGAACCAGAAGGTACCTTAGGGATGTCCCTGCTTTGCAGCAGGGTTCCCTTCCAGGGTTTACATCCTGGCATCACAGCACTGTTCAGTGTTCATGAGGGCAAACCTCACTTACTTGGAGTTTACACCACTTGGACACATATATGAGTCTATGGCCCCGTGGGTGTTGTCTGCTTAAACTTTATTAAAGCCTTTGATACCATTTCCTAGAGCATTCCCTTGGAGGAACTGGCTGTTCCTGGTATGGACAGGTGTACTCTTTGCTGGGTGAAAAATTGCGTGGCTGGGCCCAAAAGAGGGGTGGGGTCACTATGGAATATTCTGAGTTGGAAGGGACTTACAAGGATCATCAAAGTCCATCTCCTGGCCCTGCACAGAACAGCCCCAAGAATTCCACCAAGCACCTCTGAGTGTTGTCCAAACGCTTCTAGAACTCCATCGCCTTGGTGTTGTGACCATGTCCCTGGAGAGCCTGTTCCAGTGCCCAACCACACTCAGGATGAAGAATATTTTCCTGATATCCAACCTAAACCTCCCCTGACTCAGCCTCACAGCTATTCCCTCTGGTCCTGTCACTGGTCACCAGGGAGAAGAGATGCCCCTCTGCTGTCCCTCATGAGGAAGCTGTAACTGCAGTGAGATCTCCCCTCAGTCTCCTCCAGGCTGAACAGACCAAGTGCCCTCAGCCACTCCTCGTGTGGCTTCTCCTCAAGGCCATTCACCATCCTCAGCATCTTCCTTTGGACCCTCCCTAACAGCTTTATACATTTTTTTTTTTGTTGTGGTGCCCAAAACTGCCCCCAGCACTTGAGGTGAGGCTGCCCAGCTCAGAGCAGAGCAGGACAATCCCCTCCCTTGCCCAGCTGGCCATGCTGTGCTGATGCCCCCCAGGACATGGGTGACCCTCCTGGCTACCAGGGCACTGCTGGCTCATGTTCAGCTTGCCATTGACTGGGATCCCCAGGTCCTTCCCATGGCACTGCTCTCCAGCCTCTCATTCCCCAGTCTGTACATCCAGGCCTGCCCCATCCCAGGTGCAGAATTTGGCATTATGCCCTTGTTAAACTTCCTATGGTTGGTGATTGCCCAGTCCTCTCATTTGTTGAGGTCTCTCTGCAGTGTCTCCCTGCCTTGGAGGGAGTCAGCAGCTCCTCCCAGTTGTGCATTGT